ATCCACACAACAGATGGCTAAAGATGTGAAAAGTTTTCAGAGAGCGCTTTCAAAATTTGATTGAAGATTTGTTGCATAATCTTTCAAAAGCACCTTATCCAAACCATGTGATATTGTCCAAAAATTTTGGAACTTCTGTGGAAGACATGAAAATTTCAAGGGGATTGCGCATTGTAAAGGCACGGTGGAACTGTACGAGACAGTGCACGGTACGCGTACAGTGCGTATCACAACGACGATGCGCATTTTCAACGTTGATACGATCAGCCCGATACCAACGCCTCAATCGACTATCGCCAAAAATCAACACGTGCAAACCGATGACCCAAGTAAACACAACAAATATATTCAAACAACCACAACGAATACACCGACAAGAAATGCGCACATTCAGGTATCAATCACTTCAACCTAGTATCAGATGCATCTTCTTCGGCCTCATTCACGAGGATATCAATCGTAATAATAGCCGAGCGAACAATACTGACGATTCATAAGGAGCATTTCAGACTTCATCAACGAAACAACGAACAGTAATGACACAACTGAGTAAACGGAAAGTTATAACGAGGGATGTTGCGATGCAATTCGATCGAATGTTATATTATAAAGATATTGAAAGGATTATCAATCATGTTATTATGCGAATATTTTCATCGAAACGATTTGCTGCAGTTTTGAACGGTTAGTTATTCAAATGGCACATTATTGACCGTATCATCATTTTTACAGAGACCAGTATTCATTAGCATGCTCGCTTCTGTCATTACTATTATCCGTATCGTTACTGATATTAAAATAATCATCACTGTTATTATTATCATTATGAATTCATTGCCACCACCATCCTTATTTTCATTTTTAATAATCACTTCTTGTTATCGATGTTATTTCGCCTTTAACATTTTCATAAGCAGCACTTCAACACTTTTATCGTCATTTCATTTTGACTGATGTGGTTTTCTGAATGTGGACGCACGGCGGAGCTGTTCTATTTTGTAGGAAAGGCACAAAAATCGAATAATCAAGCGCCGCCACTCTACGCGAATCGTCTTAATCGTATGGGTACAAGGAATCGTTATTGCACACTCGTAAACAATCGGAACAATCAAGATTCACTGAACAAACTATCGAGTTATAATCGAGGCTTCAATGTGATATCACGACAACAATTGCTACGCACACTCGATCGTATCATCGATCAAAAGCAACAAATCATTTTAAATGAGCGAACGTGCGCCTCGAAGTCTCTGCCGTTGTCTCGCATAAGAACAAATTTTCGGCATTCCGAGAATGCACTCGAGTCAAAGCGAAAAGACCAATGCAAAAATGGTTGAGAATTTTTAATTACTGTAAAAAGAGATTCTTCATTTACTCTTTATTACTGCGTGTTCAATATACAAGTCAATTGATCAAAACATTCTTGTGTTACCATTTGAAATACATTCCTCAACCGTAAAATTGATTAGTATTCTATAATTTGGATTCCCTTCAGGTTCAGGAGTAGCGGTAAAATCATATTGCTTTATCATACGTTCATTCAGAAACCTGTGACTTCATCAGAACTGAAAAATCGCTAATTTACAGAAAATGAAAGCTCGAAATTTTGGATACTACGATAAGTTTGGAACAAAACAAAGCGAAAGAATCTTTTTAA